CTGTACCTGGCAGAGAATGAAACCCTTCAGAGCCGACTAAGCATCCTCCGGGAGGCCAATTAATGTTTCGGTTAACCAGGATGCGGTTAGCAACCCTTTTCTGGTTGCGTAGCAACAACCAGGACTGAAGTTTTCCCCGGAGAGGTGGAAATGGTTGCCAGGAAGGAGAAATAAATGCCTTTTTTTTTAATTAAAAGAAAGGGGACCGTGATGGGGAAAGACAGACAGTGAGCTTCAGGAGAGGAGAGCAGACAGAGGGCACACTGACCCTCTTCATTTCACCGCCCTGGTGACAGACCAGCAGGCCTTTTCTCTTCCTCAGTATCTTTTCACGCGGAGGTTTGCCCTGCAGGTATTTAGTACACACAGGGAGGAGAAAACACCACCAGCTGGATTTCTGCATGCCAAGCTGCAATTCCAAAGGCGGAGGCGCAGCACCCAGAAAAGAAGGTGGCCACCTCAATGGCAACTAAAACGGATCTGTTCTGGCTAGTAAAAGGATGCTCAGAAAAGCAGGAACACCAGGAGCGTTGTCATTTCTCATTGAGTCCTACCGAGCCAAAACGGCACACCAACCCTTTAGAAAAGGTAACGTCGCGTTGCAAGAACAGGTACTCAAGAGCTGCTGGCATTCCTGGGCCAAATGCTGTCCCTAACTGGTCACCAGCGGGGCTTGACCGAGCACAGGCCCTTCCTCCTCCTAACTCAGCTGGCCTCCGTCCTTCAGAGCTAGGCTTCTGAGAGCCAGCTCTACGCTCTTCCCAAGGCTGGCATTTCAACAGAGTTCAGAAAAGTGATGTTTCTGGACTCCACCTCCCGAAATCTCACAGGCCACAGTGTACATCTTCTAGTAAAAAAAAAAGGTAACTTTTGCAAGCTCGGAGTGTTTGGCAAGAAGAAATAGGGAGTGGGTATCAGGCTGTCAGGCAGACAGACCAGCAGCAGGTAAGACTACAGAGGGAGGGACCCTTGGAGTTAATGGGGGCTTGGCATTTAGGTGGCCAATAGGCGAGGGAGAGAGCTTTTGCCGAGTGGAGAGGCTGATGATGGATCTGCCCCGTCACCTCCCCATATGGAAAGGATTCGACCAAAGGCCCTCCAGCATTTGCAGCCACTCTTCCAAACAGCCACTTAAAGAAAGGAACAACTTGGGTTTTTTTTTCACATGGTCCCATCCTCTGAAAGGAACGGACACTCTCAAAACACATCCCGCTGAATGTCTGATTTAGCACAAGCATTTTTTAAAAGTGCCTACCCATCTGTTGAGGAAGAGTAGCGCAAGCTAAGGGAGAGAAAGAGAATGTATAGAAACGTTATCAGCACACGGCTTCCTCTTCAGGTTTATGGTGCGGAGAAATCACAGATGGGTGGGAGCGCCACAGGAAAGAAAACCTGCTGCCGGGAAGGCAGGAGCCCACCAAAACCAGGAACCCCCCCCCCAATGCCTGGGGAAGGAGGAGACGTGCAGATCTCCGGAAAGAAGGAAGCCGGGGAGAACTCCAGCGCTTCTCACATAAACATATCGTCGTAGTTTGGAGGCGGAAGGTGGTCAGGGTCGGGTCTGAAAAAGAGAATAGAGAAAATAAACAGTGCCCTTTTCCTATACAGTGGTTGTCGCATTACGACATTAATTCATTCCAGCGAAATTGCTGTAGAACAAAAATGTCGTAATGCGAAAATAAAAAGCCCATTGAAACGCATTGAAACCCCTTCAATGCGTTCCAATGGGCTGGAAACTCATAGTCCAGCGAAGATCCTCCATAGGGCGGCCATTTTCGGTGGCTGTCTTGCGAGGAATCCATCCCAGAAAACAGCGGGGAGCCATTTTATTTACCCAGCAGCCATTTTGAAACCACCGATCAGCTGGAGGAAAATCATTGTTTTGTGAAGAATCGGTTCCCGAAGCAGGGAACCTATCATCGCAAAGCGAAAAAAGCCTATTCAGACCATTGTTTTGTGATCACAAAAACGTTGTCATAATGCGGTTTCATCATAATACGGGGCAATCGTAAAGTGGGGCACGACTGGAGTAAAAGCACCACACAGGGTCAGCTTCCATAGTTGTTAACGAATGATGAAAGAAAACAAAACAAAACAAAACAAGGTCATATTCTCTGGACTCTTCCAAGTGGCGCCAGGGGAATTAAGCAGCTGTAGCAGGAAAAGGAAGGGTGGGAATGAAGGAATTACGTAGAAAAGATCCAACAGTGTAAAGAGGTGGGTGTTACCAGAGACCAAGATCATCCACACTCTTGTGTTTCTGATCACCATGTATGGGTGTGAAAGCTGGATGGGAAAGAAAGCGAACAAGGAAAAAAATGGATTTGCTTGGCATGTGGCAATGGAGGAGAGCTTTTTGGACTGCCACGATGAGAAACAAGTGGGTTCCTGGAGCAAATCAAGACTGAACACTCTCTGGAGGCAAAAAATGACAAAACCCCTTTTGGGAAACTACTACAAAAATGACAAAACTCCTTTCCTACTTTGGGAAACCTCCCGAGAAGGCAGGATTCTTTGGAAAATACCATCGTGCTGGGAAAGGTGGGAAAGAGGAAGACCCGATGGGAGATGGATTGACTCCCTAAAAGAAGCCACAGGCTTGAGTCTGCAGGAATTGAGCAGGACTGCTGAGGACAGGGCATTCTACAGGTGGCTGATTCACAGGGTCACCCCTAAGTCAGAGGCGACTTGACAGGACATAAGAGCAGCAGCAGGAGGAGGAGGAGGAGGAGGAAAAGGAAGGCCAAGGGGTGTCCCTGTGTCATTATTCATCCGCCCTGGGCCCATAGCTCAACATGAGGCAGGTTTGGGCCCTTCAATCCGAAGATGGACCCTTTGGGTACTGCCCATTGGGAGCCGGGCACAGCAGCGATGACCCAGTGGCTGTATTTTCGCCCCGTCCAAATTGCACAAACTGGTTGCAGCACGGAGAGATGTTACCGTGGCCTCTCCTGCCCCCCCAAAAGGGTCCATGGGAAAGGCAGTTCCCATGGATCCCTTCAAATCATGACCCCCGTTTTTCCTTTTACACCTAGGATGCTCTTAGGCACGCGGGCTGCAGTCTCCTGAAACCACCAGAACGCAGCCTGCTCACCCTTGTGGTGGCAGGATGAGGCAGGGGGGCAAAGGGGGCCGAGGGAAGGGGGAGGCATCCATCCTGCCCTAGCACCACGAAGCGTAGAGCGGGGAGGGGGGGAAAGCCCAGTCCTTAATTTTGCTTTGGCAAAATGGCTTGTGCAAACCAAACCACGGACCAGCCCGGTTGGCTGGTTTCTTCACTTTCCCATTCGGTTCGTGCCAATCTCTAATCATGACCAAATTTTATTTCCTTCTCAGGGGTTCAAAAAAACCCTCCTCTGATTTTCCGAACTCTGTGTTCTTAAGCACTCACCCGCTGCGATTGGCCCGAGGGGGTCCAAAGGGATCAAATCGCGCCCCAGGAGGAACAGCTCCCGGAGGAAGCCGACCGGGAAGGCCCGACGAGGGATCCATTGAGGGATTCCGAGAACCTGATCGAAGAGGATCCAGGATCATGCCCCCTCTTCGGCCCCTGGGTGAGGAAACAAACAAACATGAATATTGGACAGGGTTAGGGTTAAACTCCCAGGTGGCTCCTGGTGAACTGGACTACAGACGTTCTGCTTCCCAATATAATGGGCCATTTCCCCAAAAGAAACAAACCAATAAATCAAATCACATTTCGGCATAAAAGGGTTCCAGACGATGTGGTCTACATTTAACAACAGTCCTCGAAAGAAAGGAAGAGAGGGTATGGAAAGCAAGCAAGCCAGCCAGCCAACCAACGAACTAGAACATACCTAATTTGTGCGCCACAAATCCCGAGTCAAAGAAGCTGAGCTACCAAAAGGCCATGGCAAAATCCACACTGGTGGACGGCTACTGAGTTACCGTCGTATCCTTTGTGGTGTACCAGTTCACACAGCCGGTGTGCGACCGGGGGATACGAGCAGCAACTTGTTCACTAGTGGCCCCTGCAAGAGATGTCACTGCATTGATGCTGGCATAACTCACTGACCGGATTCTGACTCCCGTGAGCATTGAGCATCAGTGTTTCATGTGCTCCTTTCTACTTCTTTGAGTGGGAATTCTTGGTGCTAAGCCCGATGCCCATCTGTTCCTTGGTGGTGTTGCTTCCGATTCTGTGCGCAGTTCCTCCCAACGCTGAGCAAAGAGCCGCCTGTGCTCCTGATGAGAGGTGGGGGTATTCGTATACGCACAGGTGGCATTAACGAGAGTCCAGCCCCATGGGGCCGGATGGTCCACTCACCGATCCAACGCGGATGGCGCAATGCTACTAATGGCTCCGCAGCGCGCGATCCGCTCGCCACTCTTCGACCTTGCAGTGAGGCTTTTCCTCCCGCCTCCTGCCAAGAGTGGCAAGCAGATCGCGCGCTGTGGAGCCATTGGTAGAATCACGCCGTCCGTGTCGGATCAGTGAGTGGACTGTTTGGCTCCACGGCCCTTGTTAATGTCACCTGTGCTGTGACATTCATATTCGTATACAAACATCCCCTATCTCTACTCCTGATAGGTGACTAATTTAGAAAGACACCTTCATGTGCCTCTATCACCTGTTCAACATACTGTAAAGGTAAAGGTAAAGATTCTGAAATGCAGCCCAGCAAAGAAGCGTTTATCACTTGCCTCAGCCATAGTGTCCGCCCCACCTTGCCAGATTTGATTAGCTTCGAGGGGCCGGAATGGAGTAAGCACGTGGGAGCCCTCGCTATTCCAAGCACCCTGCCCGCCTCCTTGAGATGCACATGCTGAAAAGAATTCCAGCTAACAGGCCAAGCAGCTGCCAAGGTTGCATCAATCTGAATGGCTCCTGTCTCAACAGTCTAACTCAAGGCCAGTGTGACAGAGTTTGTCTGCAAAGCCCACAAAGGGCAAATTACTTCCCAAGAGGAACGAAGGACTTGGGAGAGTCCTTCTCTACTGACCTGGTGAAAAAGGCTCTTGCATGGTTCTGAAAATAGACGTGGGCTTTCTTAGCTGCCCCGGCCACTGCAGTGGAACTACAAACACTGAGCAGAAACTGCCGTATCCAGACAACAACGTCTGCAAGTCTTACACCACGACACATTTATTTTAGGTCTTGAAACACTGAGCAGCAACTGCCATATCCAGAGAACCAGACAACAATGTCTGCAAGTTTTACACCACGACACATTTATTTTAGGTCTTTAAAACTCAACACAACTCTTTTTTTTAACTTTTGGTGAAGAAAAGGTAACTTTGTGCTTCGTTGGAAAATTCCAAGAGACCCCTTTTTGTCTCGTTCATGTCAAAAGGCATCGCCAGCATGCAAGCAACACAATTAACGGCTAGTAGTGGCTATTCTTCTGGAGTCTGTCTTGGCGAAAATTAAATGATTTCTCCCCTGCCTGAGATTGAGAGAACCCTTGACTAGCAAGTAATCGATAAAATCACCTTAAATGTTCTTAAAACAATTCAAATACGTCAGAACGATTTGCACGGTTGCGCATGAAGCCAAACCAAAAAAAAACCTTGTGAATCACGCTGCTGCAGGAATTGTCGGTCCTGCCAAATCTGTGTGCCTGACACATCCACGTGGGCCTCGAGGGAGAGGATGATTTTAGGGAGATGTTGCATGGGACAGCTCTGAATCTGAATATTGATTTAGGTTGAGATTCCCTTTGGTCATCAGGCTGAAAGAGGTCTCCTCCCCTTGAGGACTAGGCTCTTGTTCAGACAGGAATGCCGAGCAGGCTCACTTAAGACATCCGGATGATGCTCTATCAGGACCAGAGTGCACAAGGGCCATGCGGGAAATCTTGCAGCATTCCAGCTGTGGAATGCCTTCCCCTTGGGAGGCCCGATTGGTGCTGACCAAGCCTTTATTTTGGTGCTAAATTGAAACCCGGCTCTTTGCCCAAGCGTTTGGCCCTTTCAAAGCTCATGGCCTGGTTTGCCATCTTTCCACCTGTTGACTTTTGTCCGATTTGTTAAATGGTTTTAAAGAATTTTTAAAAAAGATTAAACTGCTCCAAAGTATTCAAATAGTTTCGGACACTTCCACTGCGATTTTATGAACTCAACCTGAACCCTCACTGGCTGCTACAGTGAGGGTTAGAGATATCTGAAAGAATGATTTTTAAAAACTTTCATTTCCTCATTTTGGTAAACTCACCGAAAGGCCCTTCAGACGACCGACTTACCCAAAGGGGTCCAGATCTTCTCCGCCAACAGCAAAAGGTCCCATGGGGTCTGGCCTAAAAAAAAGAAGGCACACTCATGTGGATGCAGAAGAAAAGAGGGCGGAAAGGGAACGTCCGGCTCCAGGCTCGGAACCCAAGAGGCAGCTACCAAGCCGGGAGCATCACTCGAATACGGGCCCAGGCGTAACGTCATGCACGGCCCAGCCTGGCTCCTTGATACTGTGCCATCCTCCTCCTCCACTGCATGGCCAAGGACTCACCAGTTGGGTTGCCGGCTGCCCTGCGGATGCCGAGGCGGGATCCACAAGGGGTCGTGGTCAGGGGGGTTGGGAGGGGAAGGGTTCCTCTCGCGCTTGGGCTCCTCCTTGGCGCGGGCGGGCGCTCTGGCAGCCTCAAAGGGAGAGACGATGTGCTGGACCACCTCCATCTGCAGCTCCTCTGTGTTCCGGTACACCCTGTTTTAGGGGACAGGCAGGCGTTAAAACTCCAGGTCAAGCTGGACATGACCACACTCGGCTCCAAGGAGCCATGACGTGGCCATTCAGCCCGACTTCACCAAGGCGAGCCAACTCTCCTGGAGCCTGCACTACAAACCCCATCATTCATGGCCTATAGAAGAATGCCAGGAGCTGTGTTGTGTAGGAGAAGGCTGGGAGCTCTAGCACAACACAAATGGAGAGAGTTCTAGTTTAGGGGAAGCTGCCAGAAGCCTCCTTTGGCTCTATGTGTCTTCAACCAGCGAGCAGAGAACTCTTTACTACTATTTCCTTCTGTCTGCAGGAGATTGTAAGGCCCTTGGGGCAGGGACCTGGCTGAACCTGTCCTTTGTAATCCAAAACTCAAGCAGAATGCTGAGATGCTGTGAGAATGGCCGGCCCTGATGATTTGGGGGGAAATAAGCCCAGGCAAGGGTTGTGGGGGGTGGGAGGTTAATCCCCACCCCATACAACTATCAAATCTATTCAGAAGCCTGGTTCTTCTCACTTTTGCCCAAGAGGCCTGGACCCATCGTGGGTCCACAACAGCCACCCTCCAAGTTATGAATCTAAATATCTGGACAAGTTCTCTGTATATGAACATCTGAAGAAAAACAAGTCTAGCATGCTTTACGTTTTGTATACATGTATATCTGGTAGGACCCTGATGTTGGGAAAGTGTGAAGGCAAGAGGAGAAGGGGATGACAGAAGACGAGATGGCTGGACAGGGTCATCGAAGCCATCGACATGAATTTGACGAAACTCCAGGAGGCA